GCTGGCGGCGTCGAAGTTCCGCGTCGAAGTCCGGCGGAGCTACACAACTGCAGGGCAGGGAACGGTGGTACCCGTCTTCCCCCGAACACAACGCACCCTCATTTTGGCTGTATCTGGCCGGAAATATAACTCGTATACATTCATTTTTAGGGTGCGTTATGTTCGGAGGAAGACGGTAGGGGGGTACAACGTGAGAATGGGGGAGGGAACGGGGGCCGGTAGTTCCCGCCCTCACCGATTTGAAATCGCGGCCATCTGGGCCGTCGATCTTTGAGATCGACGATCCAGATGAGGCCCGATTTCGAATCGGTGAAATCGTCCCTGCCGGCCCTGTTTTTTTTTTCGTGGTCTGCATAGTCTGCCATGAGGGCGAAAAGGCCCCCAGCGTCGGAAAAAAAAAAAAACAAAACCCTACACTGATGCGCTGGGGGCGCCCGGTGGCCAACCGGGCGTGACAACCGGCCAGGCGGCCCGGCCCCTGCCCCGGGCGACGACCAGGCCGCCGGGCGGCCCGAGGACCAACCTAGCTGAGAATTGAAAAACGAATTTCAATTCTGCAATCCCTTGTCCTCCTCCAATCAATCCAGAGTACTTGTTCCAAGAATCACAACCGTGTTTACATCAATCCCGAACAACCAGAAACAAGTGTTCAACGAAGTATGCAGGAGTCTTCTTCTTCCTCCTCGCCACCTCGTACCCCTGGCTATGGCTGACGTAGCAGCAGTAACCCCACAGCTGTCACAACGTGCCAATCTGAACCAGCAACCCTAATGATAACAGCGCCAGCTCAGCACCCGCACGCACGTGCAGCGCTGGAAGTCCTGATGAAGAAAGAGAACCAATCCAGCACTTCGAAGAAGACAAAGTTCCTCGAGAGGAGGAACAGCAGATATGGCTGCCAAGCGGAAGATGGCAGCACCCAAACCCAACAACACAGTCCTGTGGAAGCTCTCATGCAGAGCTGCGAAATAACAGCAGTGCTATCTTCAACTTTGTTTCCCAACCCCAGCTATGGCTGGGCTTCGAAGAAGATGACCTCGCCCAAAATAGAGCAGCAGTGCTCAGCGCTCCAACAACAGATGAGCAGAGTTTCCCCAGCCAATGAAAACGTGAAAAGACCCAAACCAAATTTCCTGCCCGCTACTTCTACCCTCTGCCTAGACCTACGATGGACTCCAAAGGCAACTCATCTGCATCTAGACGGAAACAGGAGGAAAAGGGGACCTAGACCTATGACAAGGCAAAAGGAAACGGCTGAATGGCCTAAGGCTACCAAAAAGAGACTGCTAGTGACAGACTCCGGGATCAAGTCCCATAGGACTCAAAACTAACAAACAAAACACATACAAATTACAGGTCACGGGATCAAGTCCCGCAAGGCTCAAAACAAGAAAACAAACCACAAAGCCAAACACTTAGTGTACAGCCCCACTGGGAAACTGTGATTTATTGCATTCTTACCCTCCCGGGGAGCGAGGACCCACGAGCTACATAACCAACTACCAGCCATATTGGCAGAGAGGTATTAGCTAGAGGATCACTGAACGTCCATAGAGGTGGAGAACACAAAGATCTCAGAATCTGAGAGGGTTATGGTGAGATTATCAGATTAGATTGGTTAGTTGAATGCGAGGGTATTAGCCAGGTAATGAACTTCTAGGCAACCAATCAGCTTATGAAAATCTACGGGTTGTAGCTCAGATTATCAGCGAGTGTTGGCTAGCTGAATGCAAGGGTATTAGCCTGGTAATCAGCTTATAGATAGCTAACAACATCCTGAAAATCAGATGATCGAGGTTTAGATTAACAGCATGGACCACCTAGTTGAATGCAAGGGTGTTAGCCTAGTAATCAACTTTGCTGTAATCCGTTAATTCTGAAAATCTGATTAATTTCTGTTAGGACTGTGTATCAGTTAGACTCCCCAATTGCTGATCTGTGTATTTGC